AATTAGCCTTTTGTCTTAAAAGGTATTAGTCAAATTGACAGTGGAACTTTTTGGAGTCAGGTGACTAAGGCCAATGACCTTGTTTCAGCTATTTCTCCAGGTTGTTCTGTTCCAAATAGCAACTAAACTCATGCTTGGAAATGCCTTATACAAGCAGTGTATAATGAATCTTCTAATGGATCTTTTCTACATTATTCTACTTAGAATATTAGAAAATAAAACTAAAGAGCTGTGACATAATACAACATTTCATGTGATTTTATCTGTGAGACTGTTTAAATGATATATTTTATGTTATGTCTGTGATCATGTTAACTTTGACAAACTGACATGTAGAGACAGATTGGTGCTGGCCCCAAATTGTTCCATGTGAGCACACATCTGCCTAGATACACAGTTATGTGGGGCTTTTCTGCTTTCTCTGTTTACATTTTCTAAGGCCTGAACACCTTGTATTTAGTTCTGGACCTTCAACTGAGAGAGTGTACTGATGCCCTGGGATGCACCTCTCATGTTATCACCAGATCATATACACTTCCTGTTACTCTGTTCAAAGACAGGATAACAGTACAGTGGCTTAATGTTACTTATCACAGTCTTTCATGAATGTGTGATACAGGCTGCAATTGAACCCAGTGAGGGGGCCATTTTATAACTGGTATGCTCCAAGGGCCACATGGTCAGATTAACATAGCAAAGGTGACCCTGCTGGTACCAATGTTTGGTATTACTTGCTTTTCTTGTTGCTTCAACACTATACTTAACAAAAGGAATTTAAGGAATGGAAGGTTTGCTTTGGCTCATGGTTACAGGGTGCAGTCCACCATGGAGAAGATGTCATGGCGGCAGGAGCTTCATGCAGCAGGCACTTTGCATCTGAGGCCAGGAAGCAGAGACACATGGATGCTGGAGTCCTTCCTAGCCTCCCCCTTGTATTCCTTCTCATGTCACAGACAACACAATGGTACTGTCCACATTCAGAATGGGTGTTCTCAACTCAATTAGACAGTCTTGAAATTCTTTCACAGACATGCCCAGAGGGTTGCCTCCTAGGGGATTC